GGAGATCTGTGTCAAGGGTAATCCTTCTGTGTTCTGACACCAGCCCCTGCCCCAAATGGGGACATGTTGGTGCATCGGATGAATCAAAAACAGAAGAATATGGGATTGGAAGACTGACTGGGTGATGTGCTTTACAGTTGAGATGCTTCGCTTAACAAGTCTGCTACAAAGTTTTGCAAGAAATTGCATAAAATGTGACGAGCACCCATGTCATTTTAAGAATGGCGCTGCTTATTTCCAATTCCAAGACCTTAGGGATAACATACAGCCAAGCATCTTTTCAGCCTGAGAAGCATTCACCTGTTAGTTTGCCTTCCACGGCAACTTGTAATTGTAAAACAATGTCAATTACATCAATTTAGAAAGTTCCTGCCCCAACAGAGACAGCTGAGACTGCCACAAATAGACATACCATAGTGGTGATCAAATCACATACTAATAAATACATGCTCTAGCTATCATTTATAGTGTTTTCTGCTCTGAGCAATGAGGTATCACTTTCCCTTTCTTCACAAGCAAGTACCAAGGCCCACCCCTGCCACTGTCTATGTAAACATGACTGTTCCAGGCGGCTGACAACATACATCAACAAGTCCTGCCATCCTCAGTTACATGTGCAGCTATTCCTATGCTGCAGGTATCCATATAAACCTAATAATAAAGAGACACTTCAGGTTATGGCATCCCAACAACTTTTATGCCTCAACCAATTAACTCTAAAGCACCCATTCACATCTAAGCCTCACTAACCTGGCAAGAGCTTTGACTCTACCACAGGAGAAGCTAAAACATGTCCAACATGAATCACAGACTGATTGAATGGAAAACATGCCCCAGAAGCAACCCCTGACTGTTTGGGTTCCTGATTTATCGGAGACAAACTTTTGATCATGAACTCCTCGCATGTCAGAGGCAAAGCTTGGGAGTTCGCCTCAATGGGTATGAGAAGTAGCACAACACAAGGTTTACATGCTCTCAATGTGGTTCTCATTTCAGCAGTTTGGACTCTGCATGCCATTGTCTAACTCTGTGAAGTGCAGCAACATCAAAACATGCCCGTGCCATCAAAACATCCCCTAAAAAGCCTAAGAGGATATAAAGTCCCAGGAAGTTTGGGAATTTTTAAATACAGTTTCAAATCCTACTTTCACATATTTACAGTGAATGGCAAAGGTTAGTCAGCATGATGTAAGGTGATTAAAAACTCTGGGTATGGCTAAAGTTTAGGTTTGTTTTTCTAGATGTCACTGTATAAAGCACATAGGACACTTGGGTAGAACTAAATACTGAAACTGAACTTGAACCTTAAAATGCAAACTGTAAACATTTCAGTTCACTTACAGTAGTCTACAGGCAACATGAGGCGGATGTGTTGCTAATTGTTATGGACAGAGCTGTTTCAAACACAAGTAGACTGCAGGACCATTTTGATAACCTGTTTGTGCAATATATTTTGTTTCCTAAACAAGTTTCGCAATTCCAGAGGCAACGTGAGATTCTACTTTGAGAAGGTGGTGTTACGTCCTGTGCTGTTGTCAAACAGAGCGTGCGCAAAACTCAATTGTAAAAAATGTAAATTTAAATGTTCGTCGCTATCTGCTTAACTTTTTCACACTGTAATACATAAGCTTTGACGTTTTTCGAAGCACAGTGGTCTTCAGACATAGTCGGCATAAAAGTTAGCTAACAAAAACAACAGTATTAAACTGTATTAAATGTTAACTTTTAAAATTGGGCTCAATACGTACTTACCGCCTCTTGCTATAGCCTACAACCGTGTGCTGTATTTTCGTAGTACAAAACTGTTGACAGAACACCCGACCTACATTTAAATTTAAAATTTAGCTGACCCAAGTATTCCTGTGTGTATCAAATGCAAGCCGAAATAAATGTTGGCAACTAAGTTGTCTTAAAATAACTTGCTTGAAGTCCCTTGTGCACAGAGCGTTTGTCGAGAATAAACTATTGTTGAATATCACGATTTACAAAGGGAGTTCGTGGCTTGGTTCTCTCCATACATGTGAGCACGGCACTCAAGAGGGCTGGAGGTAAAGCTTGTGAATTATTGTCAGCTTATTGTCAACAAATGTCAACTTACTTTCTGTGCAACGCATCCCATCACGAAGAGTAGATATGTTGTCATAAAAGCCTGGGCCCCAAGCGACGTAACACAACTCATTTTCCTCTGATTGTTCCTGTTTAATGCAACGCACAGTGAACCGTATCCCGCTCCTCTGCTTCCCTCTCATTCACCTGAAGTATCGGGAGCGCGCGTCCATCGTTCATGGGCGAACTCGAACACAGCACCAAACCCTTGGCTAAAAACTCTCCTTATTGGCTTTATATTAACTTCACTGTTATTTCTGTGAACTTTATTTTAAAAAACAAATTTAAAAATAACAATATCATTGTATAGTGTGTGACTAGCTCAAGCCAGTGCAGTTTATGGTGGTCTTTAGGTCTAGCTGTTATATTTCTATAGCCTAATATTCCTTCCTTCTCCCAGTCCAGCAGATACAGAAAAGCTACATAAATTCTGCAAGTTCTACAATCTAAAAGAATGAAGGAATATGAATTGACAATTATTTCATTTTTCTGTCAGAGCCTGGGTAAATCAAAGCAAACAGATTGTTGTACAATAATTCATGAATAATTTTTGCACACATGAATCTTTTTTCCATCTTGTTTGGAGCTTCATGTAAGCTTGAGCTTCATTGTCAAGGTGAAATCAAGGTTAAATATATGACAGATCTTTGTGTCAGTGTATTTATCTTTTGAAATATCCCCTTATTTGACTGATAAGCTCTTTAATAGCCAAGACTGTGCACCTTGTTTATGGTTGAATTCAAAATATCAAATATTAAAAGACAATTACAAATATCACATCAACTTTAGACACTGAGCTAATACTAGGCCAGAGACTTTTTTTTTAAAGATATTTTCAGGGGCATTTTGCCTTTAATGGACAGGACAGGTAAGCATGAAAGGGGGACTTTTATGAGAGCTTTAAGGTGTAGGATAGATGACGCAGTTGATAAAGGTAATATGTTCTTCTAATATCTATAGTGATAGTTCAACGTTGTACCAATTACTCTCCTTAGAGGTTGAGTTTCAAAATATTATATGGGAAAACACAGGTAGGCCTGCATACAAAGTCTTCAAATCCATCCTGGTTGCGTCTTTATAAGAGCACCACATGTAAGGGACTCAGTTGCTAAATCTAATTTTTCACACCTAAACCAAGTACCTCTGTTAGTGACATTAAAGAAAGTAACAAAGTGTGGGAGATGCACAGTTTGATTTTACTCCCAAGTGCCACTCCTTCAACCACCCACACACGATCTCAGATAGGAATCCAAGCTATTATCTCACATACCACTCTAAATGTGACTTGACCTTTTGACAGGCCTTTGTAGGCAAAACTAGCAGAAAGTTAAATACTCTACTTAATTTAGTGAATGCAGAATAATGCAGGGAAAGATGTCTAAACAATCTATTTCCTAAGAACGAAGGTTAGTAGCAACACAGACTGGAGGTGCTCACTCAAGAAGGTTTTGCACCTGTCATATCATTCTGATGGCTTACGTTTTGGACTGCAGAAAAAAAGAAATATTAGTGGTAAGATATTGTGAGGTACATGTGATGTTTACTGACCATCCACTAGTGCTGTAACTAAGACAGTGTCATTCTTGATAGTACCACTAGATGACACCAAAGTAAGACAGTTGAAATCCTCCTCATTGGCTTTGAATCAGTCTTTTAAAATAAAAGTGGATTTGGCCTTATACTTTTCATTTGCATTAAACAGTGACTAGTTTGGCATGATGTAATTTGACTGGAGACTTTTATTATATATGTCTGACACTTGATACCCTGCACATGGATTGGGTGCAAGTATCTTATATAGGCCTACACATATACCACCCTCAAGGGTGTTTGTAGCTGGGGTTTGCGATCTGTGATGTGTCTTGTTTATGTATGTATGTAGCCTACCTGATGGAAAAGGGTGAAGGTGTTGTTTAAGCATGGGTGGCGAGGCTTAAAGCTCAGGGAGGGATTTGGGGGTCCTGTGCCAGAAAATTTTAAGCATTAGGCATTTAATTTCTTGCATTGTGCTGAATTTATATGCATTAGTGTGTGCATTTTCTGCATCAATTTGTGGTGTATTTTCTTTAATTTTGTCAAAAATAAAAGACCACCGCTACTTTCATGTTTTTATTTTGGGGTGGGATGGGGGATAGCAAAAAAAAAAAAAAAATCCCCAAATCCCCCCTACCCCCCAAAAATCTACACCCATGCCTAGGGACACGATTTTTGAGTTCAATACAGGATATGTGCTTGCTTTTTACAGAAATTAATATAAAGGTTGACAGCACTGAGGCTTTACAGATTAAAGTATTATTAATGGGCTACATAAACAATATGATTAGAAAAATAAACGAATTAAAACCTGCAAGATGTTGTTATTTTTTACAGGTGGTGGGAGTAGGGGGGCAACCAGTGGAATAGACCAAATAAGTAATTTCAGAAATTGCGCCTATGGCCGACAGTGACAGATATTTTAAATAAAAGGCTAATATATCATCTTAGCTCAAATCCTGTCTGTGAAATCCTGTATAATCTCATTACGTTGAGCAGTGGTATTATATAATGATGTGCGTATTAATGCAATCCGTGCATTCTGTGCACCGTATGGCACCAGGCTCAAAAAGTGGCATTGGTGGCTTAATGGCACCTCTGGTGGCATCCGCAGCTGCAGGTAAACTGCTGGCTGTCACTGCTGAAAACAAGGGTGCAGCTCTTTGACCACAAGAGTGAAGCACTGTACCACATCCGACACATCTACCAGTAGTTGTGTCAGTTCCATCGGATAATTCGTGTAATAAATGTAGCTCTGACGTATGTATTTGCAGTATCATTATTTCAACGTTTTTTTCCTGGTACTTAAATCAAAACGTCACGAGCAGACACGCCATTGTCTAACAAGCTTTATGTGTTCATTCAGATGTGTTTGCGCCCTCTGTTTCCCGTCGGACGGATAAGGGACGGAAACCAAACAGCCACGTAGTAAAAGCGAAAGGCGAAGCTCGCAAAAAGGTGAGCATTTAATGTCTTTAGTTACATTTACCGAAAATGTCATTTTACAATTTACACACGGGGTTTTGTAACATACTTACGTGACAGAAGGTAATGAGTTGATTTATATAAAATATTTGAGAAATCAGTCCTCTGCACTGGCGCTGACGATTCTAGCTAGCGAGTTAGCACATTTAGCTTGACAGGTTCCGTCGTAAACACATACAGCTAGCTAGCTAGCCGTCTCGCTAGCTCGTCTCGCTTTAAGTCTGCCCCCCCCTTGTCATTAGCCGGTAGAGTTTTACTAAACCCATTCAACACATGAGACAAATATAACAGTCGTTATATGTACGTTTGTCAGTTATCGCCTCGTCCATAGCTTATGTCTTATGAACTGGGGACTCTAGCAAGATAGTATGAAACCGTGCTGAACGGAGGCTAACGTGAGCTAACTGAAGAAACTCAGCTACTGTCGGACAGCCAACTTAGCAACACAGCCTTGGAGTCAACGGTTGTCATTAATAACTGAAGCATGCGATGGGTATATAACTTTAAACATGTAGGAGTACTGAATAATAACGCTGTCATCAAAATGTAAGCGGACAGCCGCTGTTAATAAAGAGAGAACAATATGCCAGACTCTTCTCAAAATCCATAAATGCAAATCTGGCCTCGTCTTTCGACAAATGTACACAGTAAGTATGGCTTATATTTATATGGATTGTTTGTGCAAATTCGGCAAACATGTATCAGAAGCAGCTGCTTTCACAAATAATGCGACATTCACCACAATCTGAACATAGCTGTAGTCTGACAGCTGAAAGGCGTGGATTTAAAGGCGTGTTTGTTGCTTGATAAGACGTATGTCTGACAGCCCTTACAGATTCCTACAGAGATTTAATTAACTGGATTTGTTCGAAGTAACTAAAACAATTAAATGTGAAACAGTCAGTTTTGGCCTGTCATTTGTGGTATCTGTTTCTCTGTGTCAAAGTAAAGGAATTCAATGTTAGTTGCTTGTTAATCTATATTTAACGTGACACAATCCAATTAACTACAAAGCCAGCTCGTTAGCCCTTGACTTCAGCTTGTGTTTAAATTAAAGCAGGCTGGGTTGTTACATAACATTATTACAGTCTAAAACAGATCACTTCTGAGGAGCTACAACTTCGTCTGTGTTGTATATTGATCTTTATATGGGTAATCTTCTCCAAACAATTGCTAACAATGTATACAGTCGATGCTTAACTTAATGTATTCTCTCTTCAGTGCTGTCTTTGTTCAGAAGTGTTCCTGGACACTGACATGGTCCCAGCTGACCTGCCTCCTAAGAAGATGGTCTTGTGAGAAGTTCTTTCCAAAGGATCACCAGCAGTATTGTGACTGTTCAGTTTCTTTATGGAAATGGATACTAACCAGTCAGAAGCAGTTCAAATGGAGGCTAATGCATATCAAGTGGACCATGTTATAAAATCCAAAGTAGAAGGTGAAACCCAGTTGAAACAACAAGGGCTGGAGGACACACAAAACACAGAAGGGGATATTCATAATGGTGAGTACTGAGGCTGTTATAATAGGATGCAATTAGGTAATTGTATATACGGGTATGTGCTGGAATAATGTCACAAAGTGATGCTGCCACCCTCACTACCACTTTATTCTCAAAAGGTGGCAGCTGTGACTTTGTAGAGCTTTGCTCCTTGAAGACAAAACTTAAACTAATGAATATCTTTAAAAAGTAAAGTGTATCTGGAAATGCAATGATTCCCATGGCAGAATGGAGGTTTTCTGACTCACTTGTATAAATGGCCCAACATCAGGGAAGTAATGTCAAGGTACATAAAGCCTGTAGAGGCTGGTCTTATTCGAAAGCAGTATTTGTCTGTCAAATCACAAGGACTTGTCTGGGTCTGTGGACAGGTTTGTCAGAAATATTTAGATTTTATCGCATGTTTCATTCATAACAGTGCTTGGATTGGTAATGTTACGCAGCCCTTTTGAAAATGTCACTGTTATTCTAGCACGAAAGCATTGCTTTCAATATATGTATTTTCTGTGTGAATGCATGATTGAAAATGCAGATTATTGTGTGTTAGCCATTCAGGGGAAGTGGACGAGGTAATCCATATAAAGAGACCTCATGTGCGTAGTCTGGAAATCATTTTTGTGTTGGTCCCATTTGATACATTTTTCCACTGAAATTACTGCCCTTGTGCTGTGATCAGCTCGCTTCCAACACTGCTCTCTGATCTGCAAAGTTCTTTCCCCTTTAGGCATATTACTGGTAACACTTGTATCCTGCCATGCATGACCTGTTTTGGTGGCTACTACAAGGCCTGAGGCCTTCCACTGCTCCATGTTACACGGCTCTTTGGACTGATGTGTTAGATAGCTGAGCTGAATTCTAATTAGTCATCATCATGGGGCTACTATGCTCCTAGTCTTCAATGGTTAAGGTTTAGTAGAAGAAAAAATAAGATAGTACAAAGACGACTGAAAATATAGATTTTGATCTTTAAATGCTTCTGCGAAGTTGTGGGACATGCAAGAGACTTGGAAAAAAAAGAAAATGTTAAAATCAGTGCAGACGAGACAGAGATCCTGTCGGAACAACCATCACAAGGTTATTTTTCCCCAGACTTAACAAAGCTCCCTCCAAAACCATGGAAAGCATATTTTCACAGGCTGAACAAAACATCACCGAATTTGTTTGTGTTAAATCAGTGGTGTCCCCCTTTAATGTAAGTAGAATGTGGCCTTTATTTTCAATTGTAGGCAGTCAGTTTTAATAGTAGCATGAATGTATTTTTGACTAAATATGCAACAGTCTAAGGTAGCTTGTGAAAAACAGGAATTATTTGTTAAGATTTTAATTCAACTTATCTGCTGCACCAGGACTGTGTGGGTATGCTTTGATTAGAGTTTGACTGTGACCTGGAAACATATGTAAACAATCCCACCACTGTCATCAGGTTTTGATTAAAGTGTTTCTAAATTCTGATTGGTGCACAGACATAAGAGACAGTAACACCACTTATTTTCCCAGCAAAGCCGTTCCCATTTTAAACCAGTAACCAAAACTGTTCCATGTTTGGCAGAAAATTATGTGATCTTGTTTGACCTCATTGCCCATAGGTTAAAGCTGGTGGTGATATAGTTTTTCAGGGCCTTTCAATATGTTTGTCATGCAAGATGACCCCTTATTGTGCTCCTTGACACAAGAGAAGGTGTAGCTCCAGGGATGCATCAGTAGCCACGTGCTGCGTGGATGTTTCCAGCCACCTTTTTCACTCAAGCTAATGTAGCTTGACAGAGTTGCCCAGTCAGCTTGCCAAGTGGAGTAACATTCACATTGCAAGTCCACTTTATAAGAAGTTATCATGACTAATTGTTACATTCCTCAGGGCTTCTCTTCCCCCTTCTCTTTCAGGTCCTGTCAGTTTAGATGTGATGCCAAATGGAAACGGACTGGCAGAGGACTTTGGTGCTGCGGGGAACACCCACATAAATGGGCCCCTGCCTCCGACAGCCCCTCCCCAGAGCACCAGCTCCCCTGTCAACTCCCAGACCCAAGAGCCCTCCCCAGGTTTGGCTGCTTTTCCACCCATGATGCTAGAGAAGTCTGAGGGGGCTTCTAGTGCTGAGTTCACGGTTCACAAGGGTGATTCATTGCAGTCGCTCAGACTCAGTATGCCTATGCAGGAGACTGAATTGTGTAAGCATAAACCTACGTGGAGTGAATGCCCCCTCTATACCCCCCTGTATTTTAACCTCATTTTGCTGTGGGATGTTTTACTTTTTTGGCTCATGTACACATCTGTCCTAACTCCCTTGTCTGTGTATCATCTGAATAAAGTGACTCAGTGGGACTTTCTTTTAGTTGTTTGAGACTACCCCCCGTCTGCAACTTGCATCGACATTTGGTTGCTTTATTAGAATTTGGTGTGGGTGCTTCCTTTGGAACACTGTTTGGACTAATGGCTGTGATTTGGAACTAATCCCTGTCATGTTTTATCTTTTTGGTGGTATTTTAAAGTCAGGCACAGTTGCCTTGTTCACTGTTATGAAATGTAATATGTTTAGCTTTGGCACAAAGTGTGGTGATTTTGTTTGGCTCCACATTATAACTCCCACTCAGAATATATGTAGCGGCAGCACATGAATAATCCTGTTGCATCTCTTTTGATGGCACATGGAACATAACTGAACATCTGTTCAATGCATTTATAGACGTCTTCATTCAGCTCATTGTAATATTGGCAACACTAGCTGCATAGCTGTTGTAGTCATGATTAGTTTTTTAATCGATATAGCATGCTGCACCTTGTAAATTTTTGGTTGTGATGTGAAATGTAACACCCATACTGTTGCCTGCTGTAAAAATCTGCAGTAGCTTTCAGGAAACATTGAGACTGTTGCAGTGCAGTTTGTGACTAACTAGTAACTGTGGCGTGTACCAAAACGTGTCATGCCCAGGAAGTAACACGAGGAACTCCAATTTGAATAATTTGTTTACTTTTGCAAATTCTTAGTAGCTTCAAGTCTTGACCCAATACAACCAACATTATACTATTATTTGCATTGGATCAATGAGGCAGCATACGGCTCTTTGATAGGACTCAACTGTTACAGTCCTGTAGAATCAGGTTTTGTGTACATAAAGAGCTGCAGTGTAGTAGTGCAGTATGTGATGATGGATAACATTCCTCTTTTTGGCCTAACATACTTTCCCTTTAGCCAACCAGAAGCCATCACTGGAGATGGAGAATGAGGAAAAGATTCGTCTGGAGGCTCGCCGGCGTCTGGAGGAGCAACTCAAACAGTACAGAGTGCAGAGACATAAAGAGAGGGTGAGTGAATGGAGTAGCTGCCAGGTTACGGAGAGTGCCAACTCTTCTTCTATTTGTCCTCGAGGTCCTCATATTTCCAAAACCAGTTTGCAGCAGCTTCTGCATTATCTTAATGTGAAATTTTTGTCATCACACATCTATCTTTTTAAAAACTGAATATGCAGGATCAACTTGTGCTTCATGCTTTTGGACTTAGTCTCAGCTGAAGTTGGATACTAAAAGTGCTGTTTTCTTGAAAATGTAGCCCAGAAGCTAAACAGTTTAAGAGGTATAGAAGCTGCAGCTTTTCACGTAGGCATTGGTGTGAATTTGGCTTCAGAGTGCCCTATATTTGTGGATTATTTCTTACTAGATTCTGTCAACTCTATTCCTCTTTTAATATGTTATACTCTGGGTTTTATGAGCAACCTTGTGTCAGATTATATCAGGATGGCAGTTCTATGGTTTGTGTCTTTCTGTTTCTAGTCTCACCGCACGACCCCCAAGATCAGGCCATTCAGCACTCTGGACCCAGAGCTCATGCTGCATCCTGAGGCTCTGCCCAGGGCCAGCACTGTTGCTATGACCAAGGAGTATTCCTTCCTGAGGACCAGTGTCCCCCGTGGTCCCAAACTGGGTAGCTTGGGAATTCCCCCTTCCAAGGAGAAAAAATCCAAATCACCCCGCCCAAACAAGATCTACTCGTTGGCTGACTACAAGTCCCCTGAGAATGATGGTGGAAATGGAGGAGTAGGTGGTGGTGTAGTAAGAACAGCAGACAACACCATGAGCTCCCTCCAGTCCACCATTAGCTCAGTGTCCACCTTGTCTGAGGTCAGTGTGATGTCGGAGGGCAGCACCCGTGAGACAGATGCACAGTCCTCTGCTTCGCTCCAGGGTGGTGATAATGTCTCAGAAATTGATGGCAGCGAATCAGGAACAAGGCCTGGGAACGACGGCAACGACAGTGACAGCTCGTCTTACAGCAGCGTGTCTACCAGAGGGACGTACGGGATGCTCTCCGCGGCCGTGGAAAGACAGCAGGGGCCCTACACAGTGGAGGGGAGGGAGATTGCCCCTGAGGCAATGGGTCAGTTCCCCTCCCTGCAGGAGGTGCTGCAGGCGGCCAGTGAAGAGCAACACCAGCTGGAGCTGGAGCAGGAGAGAGAAGGGACAGCGGAGCCTCGCAGCCGCAGGGACAGTTTCTCCAGCAGGTATTTGTCAACATTGTTGATGTTGTGTTTACAGCCCAATGAAAGACAATATTACATTGAACTGCAGTTCATTACATTGAAGGAGTTAGAACTTAAAAATGTTTGGCATTTTAGCTTGTTACTGTAGATCAGTGGTTCTCAACCAGGGGTCCTCGTGGGGGTTCCAGGGGGTACCCAGAAAAATGGGGAATGATTTTGTCACTATTTACAATAGAAGTGAATCCAGTGTGAGTAAGGGTCAGAGGAGCTACTACTCTGATCATGTTTGTAATCGTATCTAACAACCAAAATCTTTTGAGATGGATGTTCCTGAAGCTAAATCTAATCAAAAGGGGTGCTGCGACTTAATGTGTATCAATTTAGGATTTAATGACATGAAAAAGGTTGAGAGCCACTGCTGTAGATTAATTATAACAAGTAACTGATTATGTTAACTGCAACAATTTTTATTCTCAATCAGCTAAATGACTATTCATTGAGCACTTATGCTGTTTACATTTGTTTCAGTGTTTCTTTGGAGAGCTCAGTGATGGGCCACGATGAAATGCTGCAGGTGTTGAAAGAGAAAATGAGACTAGAGGGTCAACTGGAATCTTTGTCATCTGAGGCCAATCAGGTAATATAACACATTGGTTCTGAAATCATATTTCCCATTCCTTCCTCACAAATCACCCAACCATGCATATTGTGTACAGGAGTGGACAAAATAACAGAGAAACAATACAAGACATTAAAAACAGGACCATTACATACAACATCCTTAAAAAAGTTGCATAGGCTGAGGCTGTTTTGATAGGATGCAGTTCTTTTTATCAGTTATCATTAAATGGATAAGTGAAGGTTTACCAGTTGTATCTAGTATCTGTTTTTTCATTCACTGAAGTTTTACTTAAGTATGCTGACCGTGCTAGCTGTGTTTGCATAAATACTGCTTCTAATAATTTAACACCATAATATGTTGTGTACCATGTTCAACTTCACCTGTAAATGTCAGTAATGATGCTGCTAATAAATGCCAGATCATATATTACAGCATCCAAAATGATGAAATTTAATTTATTGGCTGTTAATTTATCTTGGCAGGCTGTTGAGACGACACTGTATTGTAAACCACAAATAAGATGATTTAAGTGCTCACCACACTGTCTTGTCTTCCAGGCTCTCAAGGAGAAGACAGAGCTTCAGGCCCAGCTCGCTACAGTAAATGCACAGCTGCAAGCCAAGAAGGAGGAGGCACAGGTCACCCAGGAGAAGCAGAGCGCCCTCACTAAGGAGGTTGGCACACTGCGACAAAACTGCAGCCAGCTAGAGAAGGCCATGGTGGAGCTCCAGGGCAGTCTGGAGAACAAGAATGCCAGTCTAGCTTCACTAAGTAATGACCTAAAGGTGGCTGAAGACCAATACAACAGGCTGATGGGGAAGGTGGAGGAGATGCAAAACACTGTAACCTTGAGAGACAATACAGGTGAGAGACGGAGACCCAGAGAGCTCAGTGTAGTAATGAATAGTCAACATCTCTAATTGTGCTGTGAGTTAAATGAACCACCCAATATGGTGTTGACAAACACCCTGATTATTGGTTAACATATCCACAGAGATTAAATTAGATGTTTTGTTCTCACACTTTTACAGTTCAGGAGTTGCGTCAGCAGATGGCTGGTCTTCAGAGCCAGCTTCAACAGGTCCAACTGGAGCGCAGTACCCTACAGAGCCGGATGAAGACTTCCCAGGCTGAAATTGACTCACTCCAGCAGCTCAGACAGTGGTACCAGCAGCAGCTAGCCCTGGCCCAAGAGGCAAGAGTACGACTGCAAAGCGAAATGGCCAACATGCAGGTATAGTTGATGCAAATGCGGTTGATTTTTGATAAAGGCTTGACATTTGTTAGACAAGAGTCGACATGACACTTTGTTGTTTTTATCTCTCCCAGGCTGGACAAATGACTCAGATTGGTGTCCTGGAACATCTGAAGATGGAGAATGTGACTCTGTCCCACCAGCTCACTGAGACCCAACACCGCTCCATCAAAGATAAAGAGCGTATTGCTGTTCAGCTGCAGAGCATTGAGGTATACTTTGGAGCGTTCCTTTCTGAATGTGCTATCATTGATTTGTGAAGTCTTCATATCCACTCAATAAACAACCAATACCTGAAGGTCATTTGAAGTCAGTCTATCATATTGTGTAAAATATTGTGATATATAATTAATATTGTGTTTACTGTGTGTGACCTAGGCTGACATGCTGACCCAGGAAGCTAATTATAAGCAGATCCAGGATGCAAAGAGCATGGTGGAAGATGATCTGCAGCACAAACTGGAGGAGTTTGAGGATGAACGAGAACGCTTAACTAAACTGGCCAACACAGCCAGCACCCTGGAAAGGGAACTAGAGCAGGTAGTCATTTGTTCTCCACCTTCTATGGGCAGTAAACATGTGTATTGTGTTCTGCTCTAACCTGCCTTTCACACTCTGTTCCTTTTAGGCAAACTTGACGCTTTCCCAGAAGGACGTGCAGCTGCAGTCACTCCAGAAAGAGCATCTAGATCTGATGCGCCAGCTGACCACCACTCAGGAGAACTTGCACACCAAAGAGCAGTCCATCAACCAGCTGGAAGCCCGCTACCTGGAGCTGGAGGCCCAGCTGGCTGAGCTGCAGACGGAGAGCAGTGCCAAGGATGACAACATCCAGTACCTGCAGAACGAGAAGATTGTCCTGGAGGTAGCGCTGCAGGCAGCCCGGGCCGATAAGAGCCAACTTGACGAGAGCGCTGAACGGCTCGGTGAGGATGTTCTGGTTGCTTCAGATGTCTTGGATCAGCTTCGACAGGAAGTCCAGGTCAAAGCCAATCAGGTATGATACAGGAGGGAGGTGAAAAAACACAAATGAAACTTGAGATAGCATGGGGGAAAAAAAATGTATGCCTGATTAAACCATTATCAGTGACTTCACAGCAAATATTGACTTTCCCTAATGGGTTTGGACAAGATTATATTTCCATCTACTTCTGTAGTGATACCTTGAGGCACAAATGTTATGGTTAAATATTTTCATGGCCTTGGTGAGCAGTAATTCTTTTGGCATAAAGCATTGTAGAAATTGCTGAGCTGCTAGTAACGTGATTAGACATGACATTTCTCAAAATCTTGTCTCTGCATCCTTTTTGATGAAGGAGTGCATTTTCCATTCAGCTCCAGGAGCCAAATCTAAGAATTTAAACATAATTCAAGTAACTTGTTGCATCTATTTTTTTTCCTTTTGGAGTTACCGCTCCACCACGATATAGTAAAAATTTAAGGCCTTTCTTACAGATTGAAACTCTTCAACAAGAAAATAATTCCCTTAAGAAACAAACGCAGAAACTGAAGGAGCAGTTTCAGCAACAAAAGGTAAGACATCTCCCTTTCTCTTGTACTAGCACTGTACTAGTCTCTCTTATTGGGCAAAGTTTGTGGAAGCCAGTTAAGACTGTGTAGACTTCACATACATTTATTATTTTTTTATCTCTGAAACCTCCCAGCTGGCTAAGGCTGATGCTGATGCTGTCGTAGGAGGATGTATTGTAGAGCCAGATGGTTGTCATCTCAGACGGGTGCTGGTTGACACGCCTCATTGGATTGTGCAGCAGTGGATGCTGCTTATTTTGCATCAACAGGCTGTCATAAAGAGGGTGGAGTTTATAGACAGAATGACAGAAATGTGCATTGTATTGGATTTCTTTCAAGTCTTGAGTTTTTGTATAGCCATCACACTTGTGTATTAACATTCATCTCGGTCCATCAAAATGTATTTGGCTGCTTTCAGGAAAGCAGAAAAAGAAAAATCTGGCTGCATCGTCATCTAATGTGCCTCTTCATCGCATCTAAAGCAACTATATTAGGGAGAAGTCAGTGATGTGTTGGATACTGTAGCTTGATTGACTACTTGTTAAAGGTTCACAGGATAGAGGGAAACAAGTAAGATGAGGTATGTGGATGCTTTGCACATTTTTGATTTGAAAATAAGTGAGAAAATTTAATCTGCTCTATTTGTGCAAAAATGCAGGTTCTTAAAGGCACAAACACAAAAAGTATTGAACTGATAGCTACTCTGGTCTCGGTGTGTTTCATGATTTTATATTTCTTTGTTCCTATATAATACAGCTGCACATGGCACACTTGTACAGCTGCACTTACATTAAAAATTGTGAAGCTATTTGAAAAATAAGCTTAAAAGCTCTGCATTAACAAAAACAGCTGCATCCCAGCGTCCCTGTCGTGGTTTCCTGTAATATTTTTTAAAATGTCCTGCTGTCTTTATTGTGTGTGTTTCTACTGGGAACCAACACAAGACAAAAAAATAAAGCCTGTACAATTCCATATGTACAGGCCTTCTTTCTCAGTTTGTCATAATCCTGTGCAGTGTTTCCTGTGGAACAAGAGGGTCACCGTGGGGGCAGTGTTCGCCTATAGGGTGTTAAAACTGTAATGCTATGGTGTTGTTTCTTACTAGGATACAGGCCATATGTGTAGTACACAAGTAGGGTATTTGCTTTGTTTTTTATTTGTTTAGTGTTATATATGTTTAAGTCTATTATTAGATCCCTTTAATGCAGACTCAATCGCAGCACAAAAACATTGAGGTGTTTTAAGGGAAGTTTTTTAAGTGTCCAGCTGAGTCCAGACAGACCCCTATACAGACCCCTGACCCCTGGAGAGAGTCCAATCCAATCAGCTATAGAGTACTTTAGGGAACTGCTATTACTGTTGCTGTACAGTAAGGCTGCAATTAACCATTATTATCGTTGTTGATTAATCAGTTGATTGTTTTCGTGATTAATCAATTTGTTGTTTGGCCTGTGAAATGTGGAAAAAAATGTGGATAGATGTTTCCCAAAACCCAAGATGACGTCGTTAAATCCCTTGTTTTGTCCACAACCTGAAGATATTCAGTTTACTGTCACAGATGAGTAAAGAATGGGGCATCGGTGGCTTAGCAGATAGAGATATAAATACAGATATAAAGGCAAAAATGCCCCCAAAAAAATCTTTAAAAAAATTAAAAAAAAATAGATGAGTAAAGAAACCAGAAAGTATTCACACTTAAGAAGCTGGAATCAGAGGATTTTGACTTTTTTCCCCCTAAAAAATTTCTCAAACCGAATAATCCTTTCTCAACTTAGCTTCTAATTAATTTAATAATTGACAACTAACTGAGTAATCCGTTGATCGCTACAACTCTATAGAACAGTGATACTTAGAGGCAGTTTGTACAACAGGATGTGTGATTTTGGTGTTACCTCTTGGTTATAAAATAAATCTAGCAAATATAGCTTGCTCTAGATGTAGTAGGTTTGGAGCCATTTTAATTTAGTAATGTTTAAATATATTGTAGAGAGAGAGAGACAGCCTAATAGAGAACCAACGCAACAACACATAACAGCTGGAGTTCATTTCCTCTCCTCACACTGCCTTTTTATTTAGTCCAACATTTCATTCGTTTTTTTTTCTTTACAATTTATGTTGCCAAAAAAGTCCATTGAATTGAAAGAGACAGAGAGAGAACGCTCATGTGGACAAGCAAGAGGGAGGAGAGAGAAAGGACAAAGGACGTGATAGAAAAACTTTCCTTGATCATAAAGGCAAATGTTATTTAGCAATCCACTGGTCTATCAGTGAATTGTATGAACTGCACTGCAGACTGGATTCTCTACGAACAGTGACAAACAGATTGACGACTGACTCATAGCCCCAAAGTGTGGGTCGAATGTGCATTGACAAGTTCATGTTATATACGTCTGTGTATTTATTTATTCATTTTTTGGGTGGTGGCAAAGATTTAGCCGTGGCGTCGCCATAACTGAATTCTACCAGTGGAAATTTATCTCTCAAGCCTAGAGATGATGTAGTGTGGGCTTCACATCCTGTTGCAGTCCTTTCTCCTGCATTGTTTCTACAGTATGTTGTGAAAAATATTTTGCCTGCTCTCTCAGTCAAGACAAATATGAGACTTAAATGGAGATCAGTTCATTGATGAGACACATGGTTATTGCCCTTTACAGGTGATGGTAGAGGCCTACCGTCGGGATGCCAGCTCCAAAGACCAGTTGATCAGTGAGCTCAAGTCCACCAAAAAACGTCTGTTGGCGGAGGTGAAGGACCTGAAGCAGGAGGTGCTGGGCGTTCAGGGGGAGAAGCAGAAGGCAGAGTTGGAGCAGGCCCGGCTGCAGAAGGAGGTGGTGAGAGTCCAGGAGCAGATGAACAACATGGAGGCCCATCTGCAAGCCATTCAGACGGAAAGGGATCAGCTAGAAACCCAGGTCCAGGTAATTATAAACATTGATATTTGTTTAATATTTCTTACCAAGTCTACTTCACTAAGTACTTAAACAATAAAAGTAAAATAAATATTTATGTTTTGGCTGTAGTATAAGTGGGTGCAATTAAACAGTTTTCTTGTGTGAAATTAAAGTGTGAATCCTGTTGTAATGTGAACTGTTCTGTTTTTCTCCCACTCCAGTCTCTACAGTTCGATCAGAGCCAGCTAGCAGCAGTGACAGAAGAGAACGAAGGCCTGAGGAAACAGGTGGAGCAAATGGAGGGAGAAGCCAAAAAGTGAGTCATGTGCTGCATGGAGTTTTGGAGAGCTTGAATGACTCCCACAGTAAGGACTTGGACCATGGTGCATATCTCTGTTATCAAGTGATATTTATAAATATAAACAAAGGGCATTGCTTATACAATACCTGATCTTCACACAGACATATGAGTCAGTACATGTGGTTTGAAAAATCCATCTATCCACATCATTTTGCTCTGTGTGTTATCTAAATCTGCAAATTAAATGTGATTTTTAAAGATGTACAGTCTGTATGTCTACATCTTGTGTTCATGTTTGTATGGTCTGCTGTCAGAACAACCTCATTTCCCCATTTAAGTTAATGTCTTATCTGCATCAAATAGGGCCATCTCAGAGCAGAAGGTGCGTATGAAGCGGCTGGGGACAGATTTGACTAGTGCTCAGAAGGAGATGAAGGCCAAACACAAGGCCTATGAGAATGCTGTGGGCATCCTGAGTAGGAGGCTCCAGGAGGCTCTGACTGACAAGGAGACGGCCGAGGCAGAGCTGGTCAAACTCAAGGCCCAGGTGTCGGATGGGGGAAACAGCCAGGTCTTACAGGTACAGTATAAACCTGCCAGACCTTTACAGTTCCATGAAAAATTCACAGATACGACATGTAGTTCGACACAGAGTGCCAGGCAATTAGCAGAAAAGTTGTTATTAAAAAAAGGGTACACTATCTTTGTGGCATGACTGAATGAAGTATAAAATAATAATAATAATCTTACCACTATTGATATTAAGGCTGAAAAATATATGTCACTATTTTGCATTCCTAATCCAAGTTATGGAGTATCTTTATTTAGTTAGCTTCTTGTGCTGTAAGTGCTTCCCCACAGTCTGAAGGATGAACAATATTATAGGTAATTGTTTTTTTTTACTGTCAGTCCACAGTAACAAGAACATCATCTTAAAAAAACATGAATAAAATAGCATTCAGTCTACTCTTGTCCTTGACTCATATTTCTTTATCATAAAGATATCTGTCATCTCGTGAACAATCCTGGAAAACTGCACCTGCTCACTAACTGAAATGTATTGAAATACAATTTGGTTTTATTTGTCATCCAGGAGAAGATTAAGGCTCTGCAGGCTGAGCTGCAGGCTGTGACCAACAGTAAGACTATGCTAGAGAAGGAGCTGCAGGAAGTCATCACTCTCACCTCCACAGAGCTGGAGGAGTACCAGGAGAAGGTTATGGAGCTCGAGGATGAGGTGAACAATTATCATTTTGTGTCAGTTTGTGTTGATATATTCAGTGTTTTGAACAAGACCGCTCATTTTGTCCAATGAGAAATTACTGTTTCTGGTATTTTTAAATTGTATGATGCTGATCACAACTTCATATGAGCAGTATGTTTACATATCTGTAATCATTCAATTAATGTATACTATTTTGTATTAATGACATGAATTGATTTCACAGCTTCAAGAGTCACGATGCTTCAAGAAGCGGATTCGAAAGTTAGAAGATGCCAACAAGAAGCTAGCACTCGAGCTGGAACATGAAAAAGGGAAACTGGCTGGATTGGCTCAGTCTCACAGTACACTGCGGGAACATTCCAACATTTTGGAGTCTGCCTTAGCTAAAAGAGAGGCAGATCTCGTCCAGCTCAACTTACAGGTGAAAAATTAGTTTCCATCGTATAATGTTGATATATTTTTTGATCACCGCTGTGTTGCTATATGTTGTGTTACCCTCATAATATGCACTTTTTAATTTTATTTTACAGAATATTGTTTTCCCATTTATCCTTTTAACAGGTCCAAGCTGTTCTGAAGCGTAAAGAGGAGGAGGACCAGCAAATGAAGCAAGTAGTACAAACTCTACAGCTTGCTTTGGAAAAGGAGAAAACCAAAGTCAATGACCTGAAAGAACAGGTAGGATTTCTAAGTAATACACAAACATACAGTTTACTCTCCTTTTTAGGTTTGAATGCACACTACTCATTTCATTTTGACCTTTCAAATGATTTCAAAGAGTCATTAATTTGAATGCATGTGAATATTTGTTTTGAAGTAATTTGCCTGACACAAGGCACAGTCAGACTCCTCTAAGAAATATAAAAGATAGAAAGCTGAGTTGTTACAAGTATCTTTAGTAAATATGGTAGCTTTTGCCTTTTTCACACTCGTCTTTGATCTGGAGCATTTGACTTTCCTGGGGCGGTTGTACTGATATGATGTGTCCTTTAGGTGGCAGCAGCAAAGGCTGAAGCAGCCCACAATAGACGGCACTACAGGGCAGCCATGCTGGAGCTGTCAGAGATCAAGAAGGACCTGCAGGCCAAAGAGGACCTGGTCAAAGCTCTGCAGAAAGAATCCCACAAACTACAGTATGTATATTTGCCTGATTAAAGAAAACAGCGACTTTTGGCAAATTACTTTTTTAGATCTAATATTGAGTTGCAAAATCTGTAGCAGTTGTATATCTTACCACTAATTTGTCATTATATACATCACACTCTGCAGGGCTCAGGATGAGCAGCATGCTCAGGAGGTTTCCAGGTTCCAAGAGGAGCTGGCCGAGGCTCATTTACAGCTCCAGATCCTCCAGAAACAACTGGATGAGGAACTGGCCAAGCAGCCCCTCACTAACCAAGAGGTAAGGATTCTGAACGAGGGTTAGACTGAAATATTTAGCTGATGACCTTTATTTAAATGTCTTGACAAAAAGAATTGATGGCCATCTACCTCTAATATGATAGACACAATGCGGTTTGTTTGATTGTATTAATTTACTTATAATTAGTATGATATAGCCTGAGTTTATAAATGATGACATTTTGACTATGAACTCTTATCGTTGTCCTTAGTTTTCATAAAGAGTTGTGGGGTTCGAGTACTCTAAAATCTGTTTCAGAATTAAGCCCCATTCATCACCTGCACTGAAAACCAGAAATTATCTAGACATTACTCATTTGGATCCGACATTGAACGGACTTCCTCCTGCCAGCTCCCCAGAACAAACTCAATGTAATTTCCAACTGAGCCCATTTGTGGATAGAGCAGATAAATTGTCTGGAGAATTCACAGCATGTTGATGACGTTTCTATCATATGGGTCATGTGAAACGTGAGGAAAACTAACATCCAAGGGTGAAGAAGAAGGGTTATTCACACAAAGACTGCAACCAAAATGTCTAAGTGGAAAGATGACCAAATTCTAAACTTCTGTTGGTAAGGGCAGAGGCTGAAATCATCTGACAAATTCAAGGAACAGCAAAAGCATGTGTGAAAGGGAAACTCGGGACAACATCCAGACCTGATTTCTTGGATAATGTCAGGAGTTCATATGGCGCGACAGCTTTAATTTAAGCCATCACTTGTTATTGGAGAACAGCTCTCAGTGACACTGATGTCCGACATTGGCTCCCTCAGGTTGAGGACCTGAAGTGGGAGGTTGAGCAGAGGCAGAGGGAGATCGAGGCTCAGAAGCAGCAGGTGGAGATGATGGAGCAGTGTCAGCACAGGGAGCTGGACAACCTACAGAGAGCTCTGCAGGCAAGTATTCACTTGATGGTAAAAGATGGATAGAAAGCTTGCTCCTTAACTTCCCCTTTTCAGAATGGTTTATAACTAACAAACATTACTCACTATCTCAGAACATCAAGGTGGAGCTGGAGTCGGTGCAGGATGAGCTGAGCAACACCAGGAAGGACAAATTTATGTTGCAGGCCAAAGTGGGTGAGCTGAGAAACAGCATGAAGACGGTCTTACTGCAGAACCAACAACTCAAACAGGACTTCAAACAGAGCCGTCTAAGGAAGGTAAGACACCTTATTTTTCACTGTGACAGTTTTTGTGTTTTTTCACAAACTGTCCAGCCACCACACCTGGACAGTTTAGGGAAAACACTAAATATTTGTACTAATTTAAACAATATTTGTATTTGCTTAGCTGCTGTAATTTACTCTTAATACATCTAATCAGCCATTATTGGCCCTTGGCCCACTCAAATACTAGTCAGGCTGTAGTGTTTAGTCATTCTTTAATAGTCTTGTCATGAAGGCCTTCAGGTGTTTGAATATTTAACATTGGTTATATAAAAATTTTAAATATATTACAACTGAAGTAATTGAAAAACTGTATGTCAGTGTTGTTGCATGTCTCATGGACAGCAGTGAGTAATGGCTGGTTTTAAACAACTGGGGTGTACCCATTACTTCCATGAGTAATGCTTACAAAGCCTCCACCCTCTTCTCAGAAAGATTTAAAGGCCAGTGTTCCAAATAATAAATACCTGCTTAAGATAAATGACTAAATGCATCCCTGTAATGATGGTTTTGTTGGAGCAGCAGCGCATGGAGCTGAAGAGTGAGGGGAACCCATCCAACCCAGTGACACCCGTTAAGATTCCAGACTGCCCGGTGCCTGCCTCGCTGTTAGATGAGCTGCTGAAACCATCAACTTCTGTCAACAAAGAGCCCCTCAACAACCTGCACAACTGTCTGCGGCAGCTCAAGTAAGCCTAACAGAAAGACTTGGTTAACATAACCAACGTACCTACATGAAGTTTTTTCTTGTGTAGTGCCAAGCAGCTATCCAAATGCCAGAATACATGCAATGTCTTTTTTTTCTCAGGGAGGAGATGGACAGCCTCCAAAGGCAGATGGAGGAACACACAGTAACAGTACATGAGTCAATGAGCTCATGGACAAACACAGAGGAGGGACTGGCTCAACTGCAGCTTCAAAACGTCTCCAAATCACCAACGCCGCTACACAACATGGTGGTGGAAAATAATAATGAAGCGGAACAGCAGCAGTCATAACAGAAGAACTTTTCTCAGGCCATTAGAGGGAGAGTGGAGTTTTATCCACAAAGGCACTTTTTAGCCCCTTTATTCCCTTTCTCTTTTCTTAACAATTGCTGCCAACATTTGGCATTCTCCCATCAGCACATAAGTGCTTTCGCAGAGTAATACTTTATATACCATAGCTTTATTCTTTCTTCTTTATTTGACAGTTGTTTATATTTTTGTTATGCTATTGTCACATTTATTTATTTAGAGTTAAGGAGCTAAAATCTATCTGACAGCCTCTCTAAGAGGATCCCCCTTCAACAAATATGGTCTAGTTTAACTGAGCTGTTGGGCTAGTTTTTCCTGTTTAGTTGGCAGTTTTTCACACTAAAAGGTATTTTGACATCATCACCCTCCTCATAATATGAAATCAGTGGCTTTGATGCTACTTCATGATGGCTGACATTATTTAAAAAAAAAGTGTTTTTGGTGACAGAAGCAACCCATTATTCTGTCACCAGAGTGGCTATGAACTGTTCTTCCATTTCTTTGTGCCTGTGTGAATGAGTGAAGTTGCCCATCTATGATTTAACTGACGTGGTTACACATTCACATGGTCTCTAAGCAGTTGATGAAACATCATCACTCCATTTCATGAAGTTAAAAGTCATGCACAATTGTGGGTCAGTTGTTTTGTAATAACTCTTGTTAAAATGCAGTGTTTCTTACATTTGTTGTAACCATATCACCTTGGGTTCTAACATTAATCTTCTCAGTTATATATGGAGGTGTTTTCTAGCATGGACTGCAGTAATTTGTACGCAAAAAAGCCTTAAGCAATCTTTAATATGCTGTAAAAGACTAAGTTGGTTTGAATGAGCATATTTCTGGTGAGGATGTGTGTGCAAGATGTAATATGTTATATTGTATATGTGTGCAAATCCTTACTGAAGAATGGTTTATTGTAAAATAAGTGAGTCACATCAACTGAAATTGCACACTAGATGAACAGAAGTTAACTGACGAAGGGAGAAAGTTGTACTATGAAGCAGAAATGTTATTACTTCTAGCAGCAGGTGCAATCAGATGTGTTCATTTTCTGTTACATTTGGTACATATTGTATTTACAAAAAAATTACTACCCCCGAATCGGATGTCATTCATGTTTTATGGCTGTTTCATGGTTATGGGGATAACTTAATTGTTTCCAGAGGTTAATATATATATAAATACATTTCCTTTTTTGTTTGATTGTAAAGTCATCATAATTGTTTAATAGTGTAACAAAGACAAAATAGAAAATATCAAATGCAAACCATAAGTCAAAGCCGATAGTAATTCTGGTACAGCTGCGCTAAAATTTCTGTGTGGAGGGGTCTTTGGATGGTACAGTAGCTTTCTGCATGCAACTGTGCTGCAGCTGCTTTGTTGGTGCTCATTATCACACTAACAAACTTTTCTAAACACTGTTGTATGCTTATGAATTTCCAAAGGGACAATAAATACTGGTATTTTGAGGAGAATGCTTACAGAAGATTATAACAAATATATTGATATACTGTGTTCTAAAAAAAATCTCTTGGACTGTATCTTCCAAACTACCTTTCACTGTAACGTCAGGTAGTATGTAATATCATTTGCTATGGGGCACCTGCGCTCAGTGCATAAACCTTGCTGTATCTGCTTTTTTTTTTTTCAAAGATTGGAATTGATTCATTCCTATGTTTTAACATTTGTTTTGGGAGATGTGATTGTATTTATCATAAAATTGCACTATTCATCAGTCATTATAGTTTGTGTTCATTCATTATATCTTGTCTACACAGACTTTTAAATAGGTCCCAAGTTCTGTCTTATTTCCCGACGTTGTAGTTGTTATTTTGTTCAGGCACCATGTTAGACACAACCGGGTCCTCGCTGTCTGCATTTTGAAACCGTCGCGGTGAGAAGACACCTAACGTTAGCAACAGTAGCCGGGGAGAGGAGGAGGAGGAGGAGGTGGGCATAACACTATTACAGTGATAATATTTTCACCTAGCAGTGCACTTCTGTTAACTGTGGCACATGTTTAAGGTTATGTGTCCGGTCAGAACACAAATACCGTGTTCTTACTGTACATACTAATGTATGCTATTGCTAACCGGTGGCTTGAGTGATTAGCTTCTTGTCTTGCTAAGCGGCTAATGATGGTTAGCATGCTTGTCAGATTTTGCTTCCTGTAACAAATTGTGTAGCTAACCAACGTCGGTCTTGTTTTCTTTTCTTCCACCTTTCACGGACGATGGTCTATTTCGGTAAATTGTTTTTTACCCCGTTTTTATGTGTTCATCTTGATATTCGTCATGTCTTGTCGGCTTGCTTTATAACGTTACATGCCTGACCAAGTTGGCCTGCACACTTGGGATTGTGCCTACACGAATATTCCTTAGCATGGTGTTTATACCGGCACTCTATTTCCACAAATTCGTCATTGTTATTTATTTTAAACTGGCAAATGTGTTGTTAACCAGAAATAAAACCCAGAGATGCGTTTGCTAGGTTATCGTTTCCTTGGATTAGTCACGTCTGCTATGGGCAGTGCATGATGCTACATTCAAGCCTTCCGGGAGGTACGGAAATATAAGAGACGTCCTCAAAATACAATTTTAAGTAGCTTTTTGTTTGTTTGTTTGTTTTTGTCGTGGATCAGTGATGAACCCAGATATTATATTTTTTCTGAGAAACTCTGCTGTCGCGAACAAGCGCACACTTGTATGGGATTGCAGGGCAGAAATGAATACACGTTAGTTTTGTGAGAATATTTTTTTTTTTGTCATGGCAACTCTGGCTTTTGCTGTCATCGGGGAGGCTGGGCAGGTTTGCAACACTTTTGCACTTTTGTACTGCACCAACCCAGTTTATACATTAAACTTACATCTGTCTGCTAATTACCTGTAACATTTAAACATGATTACAAATGACACACGGGAATATGATGCACCTGACCCCAACCCTGGGGACGGTTGCAACATGTTAGATTTTTATTTTTTGGAAAGGCATCAATTTGCCAATGTAGCAGACCACAGGTGACAATGTTGTGTATTTGGTTCACTCTCCTTATATGTAAGACGATGACTTGTGCATGGATTAGAGAAATAAGAGCTGTTGCAACCGTCCGGTGTTGCAACTGTTTCCGGTCTCCCCTCTGGCTTTTAACAGTAAATGCTAACACTAGTTTGTTATGGAGCATGACTGCATAAAAATGGAAAAAAAGATGTGCATAATTTGTCAGCTGCAACGACCAGCGAGTAATTTCAAGTCATGTTTTAAAAGAATGTTATTATTACCGAAAATATATGGCCATGATACAGTAAAAGTCGTGGTGTGGGAGGGAGTTTAGAGGTGACGTTCATCAATACAGTGTCACATGCCGGTTGCAAATTATCCCTTATATCTCTGCGTAGTTTTTTAAAGAGAAATGTGACAATTCACGTCATGTTAGCCACCCTGTCACCCTCAAGCCGTTTGGAGTTGAGTTTTCCCACAGGTCTGGAATGCAGCGTGCGCCCTCCCTTCAAACTGAGCATGCGCAGAGCATGTTGTAAACAATGAGACTATTCCAGACCGTCTCCAGCTTTGTGTCTATCCAACAGTTTATCTGTACAAAACTAACAACGGTCTCCCATAGCTCCGCGTATATAAAATAAAATGTTCCTCGGTAAGTATAGGGACACATTTGTTAATAGATGTCATCACGTACACTTTGATTTTTATCGGCATCATCACCACGAAGACGTATCAAATTTGTTGCGTTACAGCCTGAAAACCCACCTCGAATGACATACTTGGGCGTGACAGCATGAGAATGAAGCGATTGATACTGTTATAATTTATCCAGTTTTCAATTTATTTGTAATCGTTAATGTTCCAGCCCAAAGTTGCGTGCTTTACTTTATCAGTCTAGATGTTCAACTGAGCAGTTTACCTCTCGCTAGCTTTGCCAGGCACATTCCCCGGCTGCTACATCTGACTTGTTGGTTAGCAAGCTAGCTAGCACATGCTAGTTCCACAATAGTATGGTGGGTTCTGACAGATGTGATGTGTTGGGTATCATGTGGAGGGTCAGGCGCACCTGCTTTATCGCATTATAGGGACCTATATTTGTAAAATACTTAATAGCTGCTGAGCTTATACATGAGATATATAATAGATTTGTGCAACATAATACTTAACACTGAGGGGCAGGGGTGTGCTTGTTTGTAAAATATAATACAGACTGTTTCTACCATGTGTGGCACCTTGTTGGAGTAAGAATAGGATGTGTGTCTGTTATTGTAAATATGCACCTAGAGCAGCTACATGCTGTTGGATTGTTCACATATGATTCTTGATACTTAGTAGAAATAATAACAGCAACGAAACACCAAAAATAGACTAATACTAAGTATAACATTTCCCTACATGGTGGTTATCTATCAACAAATGCTGGTCGTAATTGCTGAAGTCTATTTTGTGTTGTGTTGTAGGGAGCTGAAGCATGGAGGCGGTTCTGAGCAGGCTGAGGGGGCTTAGTGCTGAAGAACTGCGCGAGGAGTTTGCCCGAGCAGACATCAAGTGCGGTCCTATCACAGCAACCACCCGAGCCACCTTTGAGAGGAAGTTAGCCCGAGTCCTGGCCGGACCAGAGAGCAGTGCCACTGAATCGGACAGCAGCTCTTCGGCAGGCGTCTCTGGCAGTGCAGCCTCCATTGCCGCCGATCATGCCAAACCTGTGTCATGTGCCACCTCAGCAGTTGCACCTACCACTTCTGCAACAAGCAGCAAACCCAAGGGTGCCGGTGAAGAGTTGGACTTTGGCTACGGTGTGGGACTTAATCCTCCAGAGGAAGAGGAGATCTCAGTAAAGACAGCCTCAAACAGCTTTGCAGAAGGCACTAACTCCAAAACGGAAACCCCTTCAAAGTCTGCACAAGTGTCCCCGACCTTTTATTATGGAGTATGTCCACAGTGGGAGGATGTTTTGTCTAGAACTGGTAAGAGAGACTTAGCTTTTCACGTGGTGTGGCGTCCTACACATTTCAGCATCAGCCAACATATTATGAGTTTGCAAAAGTTACACACACAGTTCAGGATCACTTGTCAGGTTGCCTTGAATTAGGGAATCGCAGAAAAGAGCTTTAGATAAAAGTACCTGTAAAGCATGACTAGACTTCATTTGTACTTTAAAGCCAGCATCATTTCACACATTCAGAACTTTATTACTAAGAGAGGAAAGTATACAGTGTGTTTATCATCTGTCTAAACTTAATGATCTAGTTAAGGAAATATTTGTCAATATCAAATGAAAGTTGTTGTTATTCACATGGCACATGGTTTGATTTAAACAGTGATAGTTTTCACACCACTTAATTCTTTTTTTATAGAGGTGAATGCTTTTCAAGGATGCCCTGGTGGCCTTTTGGTTAAGACACATACCATATACTGTAATAAGAATGTCTGAAGGTTTTATTCCAGATGTTGGTGAGTTGTGTTGGGTTGTCACTCCCATTTTCTCTTTCCCCTTTTTCCATGTCACCTCTCTACTAATAAATACCACAGAAAAATATATAAGAAGTAAGAACAAATACTTTGTTGATTCCATCTGGTGTAATTACGGGATGGTAACATACATGATGAATATATAGATTCACTTAAAATAAAAAGTGTAAGTAAAAATACCAACAATTTTGCCTAAATATATCAATTCTTAAGTGTTTCTTATTGTTTCAGTTAAAAAAAAAACACACAACTTTTGTGAGTTCTATTTTCTTTGATAGGTTCAACCAGAGCTTGAAATTTAGGATGTCTCATTGCACCAGGGACAATAAAACAGCACCTTGGACATAAAGATAGATAGCCTGAGATAATTCTGGGATAGTAGAGTGGTTACAGATGAAATTATTATGTTTATGCTTCATGGATTATATATCAGATTATTGTTAGATGTTCAAGTTAAAGGTTCCGTGTGTAAGACTTGGGGGGCATCTTGGGACATTGGTTGTTAAGGCTGGGACAGTTGAAAGTAACATTTGGGACAGTTGCAGAACATTGAGGGAGACAGTTAAGCCCTAGCACCTTTGGCTTTATACTGACTCAAGGCTAAAGTCCACTTTAAAAGTTTATCATGTTCCGTGTTTGTATATTTGTTATTTACTGTGTTTCCAGTTTCTGTATTTGTTTAGTTTGTTTGTTTAGGAGCACTTGCTGCTGCTGTAGTGTGACATCCACATTTGTTTTTTTTGGATGAAAACGTTACTTGGTTGGTGGTGAGCAGCAAGGCAGCAGGAATGTCTGAATAGATGGACTAGAGTATTGATTTAAATTAATCTTGAGCTACCAAAAAAATCAATGCTGGTAATGTTAACTTGTCAGGGCAGCCTTTTATTACAGCTGCAACAGCTGTGGCACTTTGTAGACCCTCATCAACATATACTTTACAGGCTGACTGGACAGAAAGGAAAAGAATGCAAAAAAATCATTCAATCACCAGTTAGTGAGCCTCATTAACAAACAGTAATAAATGAAACAAGAAATCCAGGTCATGTAGAAAAATTGAAAATGGTCAAAAAGCTGATTCTTAGCATTTTTTTCTTTTATGTGCAGAGAGAGCACATGTATACACTGATAAGAAAGATGCCCTTCAAGCTGTTAAGATGATGAAGGGAGCCCGCTTCAAAGCCTTTCCCAACCGCGAGGATGCTGAGAAGTTTGCTAAGGGGATCTGTGACTATTTTCCCTCTCCCAACAAATCTACACCCTGTGTATCTCCTGTCAAACCAGGCCTGGTCATTAGTAAAGGTAAGTAGATGCAATGTGTGAGACCCTAACGATGTTGTCGTAATGCTGGAATTTCTAACTTCAGTACAAGATCTTGAAAAATATCTATATTTGATACCATTTTCAACACCATGGGGAAAATCTGAGGGCATACAATTTAAAAAATTCTAACATGACAGCACCAACTTTTCTTTTGGTGTTTTTTTTCCCCCTTTTTTTTCCAGCTTTGTGCTGCATTTAATTTAAGTGCCCTCTTTGAGCTAATCATAGTAGTTTTTAAATGTCAATGTAATGGTTGTGGGATCCATCATTCCTCCTAGTTTTGACAGGTCGATAATATCTGAAACAGATGCTCCAGGCACACCAGCCTTGAACAATATTTTGAGTTTGTGACAGCAGCGCCCATCCTTCACTTTCTTCTCCCTCTCAAACCAGAAAACATGGAGGTTGATACCATCAACCGGGAGCGGGCCAACAGTTTCAAGAGCCCACGCACCCAGGACCTGACCGCCAAACTGAGGAAAGCTGTGGAGAAGGGCGATGAGGTGGCCTTTAGCGAGCTGGTCTGGAGCAACCCACGCTATCTCATCGGCTCAGGGGATAATCCCACTATTGTGCAGGTGAGAGCATAATTTCTTGTTAAAGTCTTTGATTGTGTAATTATCCTAACTGTCTGAACCAGTTTGCTAAACTGAGCATAAATAAAACCTGCAATCATAATTTAGAGTCAGTGTTGTTTGAGCTTGTCGTAGTAGTGCTGTTGTGGTTTTCAAACTCTGTGGAAAGTCTTTGCTATTAATAGAGATGCATAGCCTTACTGGGAACGTTTTCATTTGTTGATGCATAAATGTCTTTTCCACATCAGTGCCAACCTTTCAGCTAATGCCTTTGTGAAGCTTGCAGTCGCTAAGATGAAGACTTAATACGACTCGGCGTGTGTGTGTGTGTGTGTGTGTGTGTGTGTGTGTGTGTATAATGAGTCTTGCATATTAGTTTAAAAATACATTCAGAAATCAGGATTACTTCATTGATTCTTGGAGGAAAATTGGGAAACATCACAGTTGCTCTTGTACTGTATATTTTTTCTTAAATAAGTAAATCAGTTTTAGAAGTTAGTATCTTAAACCTGCAATTTTGATGCTACTTTATTATAAATACCAGCTATTGCCATTATAAAATAAAATAAATGTGTGAAAAAGCGCTAACTTCGGCAGGTGAAGTTAAGGTCAGGTAAGGCTGCTTTTCGACAAAATTAAGCATCCTTTCCTGTTGACAGGAGATTAAAGCGGATTACATCCTGATCCATACAGTTGTTCCACTGTTTTGTCTGGTTAGGAGGGCTGCCGGTACAACGTCATGCACGTGGCAGCCAAGGAGAACCAGGCAGGAATCGCCCAGCTGCTCCTGGACACCTTGGAAAACCCAGAGTTCATGCGCCTCATGTACCCAGACGACCAGGAAGCTATGCTGCAGAAACGTATCCGCTACATTGTAGATCTTTACCTCAATACTCCAGATAAGGCTGTAAGTTCTTTTACCATACTAGCTGAACCAGATTTGATTAGATTCTTTCAAAGAGAAGTTAATTTGCTGTGTTGATATTGTTTGTCTCTGTGTTCCAGGGCTTCGAAACACCACTTCACTTTGCCTGCAAGTTTGGGTGCCCAGAAGTGGTCAATGTCCTGTGCTCGCATCCTGACAGTGATAAGAACTGTAAGAACAAGGATGGCCAGAAGCCTTGTGATGTAAGGAGTTTTATTTTTAACCCCTATTGAATTTAGAAACATGCACACTGAGTAATAGAACCTTCAGCAGAGCCTGGGTTGTTGTTGCTGGAGGTTATTACACAGAAAATGCTCATATGGGAGCTGTCTAGCACCTACTCAGCCTCGCACGGTACTGCTGAATACTGGTATGCTGGCAGTAGTTGCTGAGGGAGTTACAGTTATGCGCACTCAGGTTTTGAAGCCGTGACCTTTAAGCTTGCTTTTTAAATCTTTTGGCAACAATCACTCACTGCACATTGAAGGCTAAAATTAGATGAGCATGAGCAAATTCTTTCCCCAGCTAATCCAGCAACAGTTGTACGTTGCCAGCTGTACATACACTATATCCCCAATTGTTGTTTTTCTTTTTTTCCCACAGCTTATTTGTAGCAGAAAAAATAAAACCCAAGAAGTGAGGCAGAAGATAAGTGACTATTTGGAGGGTAAGGACACACACATTTCTTAAAAACACTACAAGTTTTTGTTTCTAGTCTCCCCTGCTTCCTGAAAGACACAGGCAAGTAGCATTTTTAGTAGTGTACCGTCACACAGACAGAGGCCTGATTAAATAGAAGCAGCATGTTACATCCTATACTTTGAATTTGGTTGTGTGTCAGTGCTGATTTTTCCTCCTTTTTTTTTTTTAAATCTGTTTTGTTTATTATGGTGTTAGCCATGTTGGCTAATACAGTGGAAACTGCCCATAGTGATCACGGTCACAGTGATTAACTGCTTATATGGATCAAAAAGCTTGGGACAGACTCACTACTATACAAATGTTGTTTAAATAATTTGTTTATAGTAATCAAGTAGTCTGCTTACAGTGTTAATTTGGGGGTTTTCATGCATGACAACATATGGAAAAGCAATTTAAAAATATGGTAACTATTTTTTTTTTTTTTTTTTTTTATTACTCCCATAATATTTTGCGTTGTGGTAAGTTGTCTTCTTCCAGCTGGCTAATTTAGGCCAGGGAAAAAGAAAGTAATTTCTTTCTATCAAAAAAATTGTGTCCTCAAAGCTTATGGCTGCTAGTGACAGAATCAGAAAACAAATAGTGACAGAAACAGAAAACAAATGCGGAAGGGGAAAGCACCTGTGGTTGAAGCCACCCTCGTTGAGTGGGTTGATCATGCCAAGTCACGTGGTAATGCGGCCGTTATGAAGCGGATGTACTCTATTTCAAATCAACAAAATTCAACAAATAGCAAAGCTTTTCATTTCATTACTTTATATTAATTTAATGAACACACAAATGACAATTAGATGGTAATCTGCATTGGAAATAACTGACTGGCTGTGTGTAGGGCATGGCAAAATATCAATATACACAATATGGAAACGTGAGACTAGATATTGTCTTAGATTTTGGATATCGTAATATTGTTCAAGTGTTCCTTGGTTTTAAAAGCCGCATTACAGTTAAGTAATTTTCACAACCAACCAGACTGCTCCAGATGTTCCATTATTTGTCTTTACCCACTTAGTGATAATATCCACATTACTGATAATTATTAAACAAAAATCTCCCTGGGCAAATACTTTGTGAAAGCACAGATAGTCAACCCTACAAGATCATCACTATATCAAGATTGAGGTATTAAGTAAAAAATATGGTGATATTTGATTTTCTCCATATGCCTCAGCCCTAGCTGTGGGTACTGTTGAATAAACGACAAACAATTTTGTATTGCAGATCTCGTTAATCTCTTTCTCTCTTCTCTAATTGCATGTTTTCATTCAGTGTGAAAAAAATAATGTGGATTAATCTAAAAAAATTGAAAAAACAGAAAAAACTCTGTATATCATCACCCACTGCCCTGTGCACAGACTGACAGCACCATATGCAACAAATGTTTGACAGCACACTGAATTTGATTGATTGATAGATACATGCAGCCATTGTACTGTGTTGCTGTGAATAACCGTCATTTCCATCGAATATGTTATGTTAAACATTAAATTGTCTTTTGACTCACAGACCGCTGCTTTATCCCTTTGCTGAGGGCAACAGACAACACCTCTCATCCCATCATTGGTGATCTGTGGTCACCTGAATCCTCGGAGAGTCTCTCGCTGATCCAGCGGCATACTAGAAGCCCCATGGATCCCGTGATGACTGTCACGGCCTTTGCTGGCCCGCTGAGCCCTTCTAAAGCAAGTTCTTCACCTGTTTACATATCTGTATTTACTTAAGTCCATCACCGCATCATTAAAAACATTTAGTGACCAGCACATATCGTCCTCTCCTGTAGGCGGATGATTTTCGCCGGTCCTGGAAGACGCCACCCAGAGACAAGGCGGAGCTGTTCCACCACATTCTTAAGTCTGATCCTGACCGTGGGGCAGAGAGAGTGGGCAGGTATGTCCAAAACATTACTGTCTATGTTGTCTTTATAACTTCATGCATTATTCTCAAATATATTCTGAGACTGCTGAAGGATGATACTTCTGGGATCATTGCTATCGACCATGCTGCATAAAGACTATACACCAGTGGAAATACTTTTGCACTAGCAGAATAAACACGCCTTCGGGAATTATAGACGTGTTGGACCATGTTCTACACACCCTGGGTTCAAACGTGGTTCATCCTTTGTTAAATGTCACCATCACTCTGTCTCTCATGTACATTTTAGTCAACCTGGATTGATGTAAATGGGGTGGACAGAATAATAGAAACACCTGTCTGTGTTGTGCAGTACAATTCAACAGCAACACAAACTGCAAATTGTATGTAGACCTTGGCTTGGAGGCATCACATTAGTACTTGAACTGGCTCAGAAGCTCCTGAATTTGTCGTTAGAACGTTTGTACGTGTAATAAACTAAATGATAAGCCATCCATTATCTACAGAGACCTGGCTCATGAGATGGGCCACCCATGGGCTGAGTACTGGGACTTTCTGGACAGTTTTGTGGATCTGTCTTCTACTGAGGGGCTCCGCAAGCTGGACGAGTACCTCAGCAAGAGGGATTTCAGCCCACGGGTTCATGAAGAGGCTGGGGAGAATGAGACCAGCAACAGGTTCAAAACCCCCTCTCCAGGTACCTTTAAAATTCTGAAACAAGAAATGTGCTGCACACGTTGCAAATCATCCTCTCTGATCGAATCTGTTAATTGGCATTGTGGTGTTATCACTGTTCTCAGATACAGCCTTTCATATGAGACGATGGAAATGGAAAGGATTTTGCAAAGCTGCATAATCGCCTCCCTCGAAGAATTATATGATAGAATTACACTGTAATAATGAATACTTCTAAGGCTGCTTTGTTCATTCATCATTCCCCATTGCAGGCAAGCCCAAAAAGTTCTGCAACTCCATCTCTGTTGGTGCCTTCCTGGACGAGGGTGATGACATCAGCCTGGAGGAGATGAAAAACCGGCAGAATGCAGCACTCACCAGCATCACATCCTCTGCTGCATCCAAGGACTGCCTAAAGGGAGCAGTGGGTGGCCGTGAGTTCCACATTCTGCCCATCGCATTGCACCACCGCGGAGCCGACCTGATCGAGACGGCGGCCGAGCAGGACCTGCTGTGCTGCTGTGATGACGGCCTCCTGTCGCCTGGCGTCGTCTGCAAAAATGGGGTGTGCTCCTCCTCCAGAGATAGGACTCACAATGGAGACAAGGTGACTCCTCGCACCTCCCCGTCCTCCTCCTGCCTGCTGTCGCCCATCTCCAACCTCATGGTGGAGTTTGAGCGCATGTCGCTGCAAGAGCCGCTGGACAGCCCCACCAGCTGCAGAGAGCGGAGAAGCAGTGGCGGGAGCCGGCACAGGGAAGTCCGGGACTCCTACAGCTCCTCCTCAGCCACAGACCTCAGCTGCGGGCTGAACCGCCTGTCTCTTAGTCACGGCAGTCAGGACGGTGAGGGCATGGAGGGGCCAGGCTGGAAAACAGAGGGAGGAGAAACAGAGGAAAGGCGCAGCAGTGGCAGCTCAGAGGAGTACTTTGAAGCAGAGGAGAGTCTGGAGGTGCTGGGCAGGACTGGGGGGTCAGCATCAGGGGGGCGCAACTTCTGTGCTAGGTCCAAGTCATGGGACCATGGGGGGAGGGACCTGAGCAGCTCAGGATCTTCTGGGTCCTCTTATAAGTCCTTAGATAACTCCAATGAGTTCCTACCCAGGACCCCACCGCACATTAGAAGAGGACTTTTTATTGACGGGTGAGTCACTTAAGTCTCTCTGCAGAGGGCAACGGTGCTGTGTTAAATGTTGAAGGAATTTATATCTACTCAAATAATTAAATGTCCTTGATAATGTTTAACAAGATGATTTTGGACTTGATATTCTGATTAGAAATAAGTAGCGAATCCTGTCTAATAGTTTTGGGGCACTATAGTCTCTTATTCCAGGCCAGATAAGCTCCAGTTTGCCTGCCTTATGGGAAATGTGACAGGCAGTCAGTTACAAACATTTAATGATCCCTAACTTTTAAGGTACAATGACAAAATACATGATAATAATAGAGTGGTTTAATCGTCTGTGTTCTTACAGGGATTTACCAACCAAGTTGGACAGAGAGGTCTTTTCAGCAATAGAAGGCTTAGACGTCGATCCCCAAAAATTTCCCAGCATTCACAAGTGGAAGAGCACAATGAAGTCGTACTCCACGTCTGATATGCAGAGGTTAGTGAGCACGGCATTTGATTGCAATGCGTATTATTTGTCTTCTGATTTTACAGTGTGTTGATGATTCTGCCTGGGCCTCAAAAGTGAGGTTTTTGGTCTCAGTGGCTAGTTAAATCAGATTATCAGATTACAGGCTAAATACTGTAATAAATATTTATTGTGTTGGGAAACAGTTTGATTTCAGGGGTCATTTTGTCAAAGAATTGCATGGCCTCTCTCAGACCATGATTTCATTGACTAGATTTAGGTGTGAATAGTCCAGAAACTGGCATGTTAAATATACTGTATGGTATAGGCACACCTGTCATGTCTCTTAAATATTAATGGGTCATTATATAATCAAAAGCATTGAAATATTATTCAAACTTCGAAGTTGTCCCTGCAAAACCAGACTGAAGAAATTAGGGAACATAAAGGCCAATTTTTACAGTCTGGCTCCTCTGAGGTTGTTCATACAGTAGTCCTAGTAAATGTCCTTGTAAAACAGGTGGACGATACTGACAGCCCAATATTTGATTCGTCTATGAAAAGACAGTGCTAACAGTCCTCAAATTGACAAAAACGAAAATCGCATTTTGACAAATGAGGAGTAGGCATGGTTGGTACAGCAGAAATTTAGCACAGAGGTCTGGTGCAGAGAGAGCTTTACAGCTTTTGCAGTGGACACGTTGTACGATTACAGTCACAAGACATTTTTGGGAATTAGTAGTGAGGGGAAATGCCAGGGAGTGGAGTGTTCTGTTCCAGACGATAAATCTGAAAAGACAAAACAATTATGACGTCTTGTGCTCTTTAGGTGGAGTTTCAGGTGTGTGTAGATGAAATCAGCTGTTCCATCTCTTAGTAAAAAAAATTCCTGCACATTGTCAAAAGGGGTAGAAGAAGAATCTGTTTCATGTGTGAAAGGTGACACAATGTGACATAGAAATGTGTGTGGTGTTTCAGCGTGGGCGTTTTTTACTAACAGAGGGCAGAGTGCATAAATCTCAGCACCAGGTGCAGTAATTGTTCAGTCCCTGGTGTTGCTTAACAACCCCATGCAGCAAGGTTGTGGTTATTCTGTAATTAAACCTTTCAGTATTATTAGCAAAGGAGCAAACTGATAAAAGCAGCCACTGACTGGTGTTGATTTGTGTCATCCAGCTGGCCCAGCCCTGCGGTGGTAAAACCACGACTCAGGATGCAGCATCAGACTCCCGGGTCCCCGGTCAGCGGCCTGATGTCTCCCACCGGTCGCTTCAGTCCCGCCCGGCACGCCGCCTCGCCAGACTTCAGCCCCAGCCGTTACAGCCCTGCCAATGCTAGCTACATCCAGCGCATCCGCCTCAAGCACTTGAACGAGCCACCAATCTAACTGCCTGCCCCCCCCCCCACCAGTACGGCCATACCCTCTCCAAGCCCTAACCCCGCCCTCCCCCTTTTTCACTACAAACCCAGCTGCACCAAGGTGGCTACACCAGAGCTCAGAAACCACATACCTAACAGAAATATGCACAAGTGTCTGGAAGATTTGTATTAATGACGTATGGTACTACTCCTATGTAATACAGGAATTCTCATCACGTTGGGTTGTGATGTACACTCAAGACTTTAAAAAGGAAAAAAAAAGAAACCTTGCTAATTTATGTACTGTATGGGTGTGGACCATGTTGAATTGACGGTAATGTTATTTGTGGCAAGTGTGAAGCACCTGTATCATAGCCTGAGTCAACTTTTTTGAATATCGTGAGCCGCACTCCCCAAAGTTAGTTCATCACTAAAACCTTAGTGTGGAATCCTCAACAGGATCCTGTCACTGAGGGATGTTCTTAAAAAAAAGTAAAATGTCAATATTTTAAAAGTTATTTTTTGTATGTTGGTCAGTAGCACAAAAATTAAATGTTTTTATTAATGGTGTTAAAACCAACTGCCATTTCCTATGTTTTCCTCAGTTCAGGAATTGCCTTAATTTTCTGAAGTGATGGACCAGCTCTCTGTCAGTTTGGACACACTCTCTCCAGCTCATACGTGTAATATCTGGAAAATGGCGACCTCACTGGCTGCGTCAGTCACAAATGATTATGGCAAACATGGGAAAAACTGATTCGATTGAGATCTTCCATGTTTTTATTTTGTTCCTAAATAAATGCATACATTTTCATCTTTTCTTGGTGGTTCCTGGACATGTCTTGACTTTTCCTTTCTGCCACTACCGGCGGCCTTAGACTGTGCAATTTTTTATTTTATTTTTTTCTCTGAAAAATCTTTCTTTCATAAGCATCTCCCACAGTGAGTTTGAATGACAAAACACACCCATCAGTAAAGTGTAATTTCAGATCAGTCTCTGGGCTGAACCTTAAAATTACCTAGTCTGAGACCACCTTTAAGCTGTACTAAGCGATTAACCACTAGGGGGCAGAAAGACAACAAAACTAACTCAGCAGCAGAATCCTGATGTATTTATTAGCTTATGTTAACAAAAATCTGCTTTATGCTTACAGAGAACCCAACAGATTAGCTGAGAGCCTCTGGATGTCAATTCCCAGTGGGATCAGCAGTACGTTACCCTTTTCACATCACAAAACATAGTTTGATTCAGTGTTTATTTCAAAACTAGCACTTAGTATAGCTTTAACGCCCAAGTTATGTCATGAATCTCTGATGGTTTAAATTGGCTTACAGCAATTCACATACATGTGGCAGGTTTTTTGCAGTTCTCCAAAACATGTAAGTCAAATGATGGAATGTGAATGTACTGAAAACCTGCTGTATCCAAATTATTTGTAAGTTAGGGATTAATTCACTGCTGTGTGAGGGCTTATCAGCTACGTCTAGGACAAACAAGCCAATCGTTTTAAATATTCAGATTGCCACTCTACTTTGGTTGAGAGGAACAAGTGTTCTGAATGTACATTTTTTTGTGAACTAAACCTTTATCTGGAGAGCACAAACTACTTCACTGAGAAGATTGTTTTGTCATCGTGCTCTCAGGTGACATCAGATCTAATTCTGGTCTCTGAATGTTTATGAATGTGGAACTTTGCAAAAATGCACCTAAAAAACTTAAAACATGCTTCTTGTGCTTTTAGCATTCTGTGCTTTATTAAAAAAAAATTAACATTAAACATGGTGAATTCTTTCTGTATGTCTAGACCTCATTTGCTTTCAACTAATCAATAAAACATCCCTCCTACTTTACTGCCAAAGTGTCTATGTGCTTTTGTTGGAAGTATTTCAGGAAAGAAATGTGACTTGAACTGAGGCATTCATCATTTTATTTACTACAACTTCACCATACAACACAGTAATCCTCACACTTTAGCATCCTGTAAGGACAGATGTAAAGCTAAGAGCATAATCTGCATTTACAACAGCTATACAAATGCAACCTCCATTTTGGTTTAAAAATCAGTCACTTCTGTAGAAATCCTCAGGTACATTCAGGAACAGCTGTTGATCACTCCTGCTGGCGTTCTATGGCACGGAAGTAATCACAACCACAGAGTCTCTTAATACATCATGGGAGTTCAATTACAAAATAATAACATTAAAAGTAATTTTCAAGACACTTAAGGAGAAAACTGAGCTTTGACCCTGCAACCAACCGTCTGGGCATCAGAGTCCCAGAAACCTGCCATGTGTTGGGCCCGTCAGGTCCGTGTTAGTTTGTCCGGGGGCATGAATCCTGCGTCTCCCAGAGTTCTAAGAGCCACCCTGCCGCTAGGGCGGATGGTGAGCCACGTGATGCTGCCGTTGTTCAAGCCCATACGTAACCAGCCCTCTGGAGGAAACTGCAGAGCCCTTGAAGAACAAAAGACAGGAGCATCTGAGTACTGCAGCTGCTGTATTTACACGGCACTTATTTATTAAATCATTTGTGTGTATCCTGTAAGTAGCCATTTGGAGGATATCTAACCCTTGTCTCACCCTAACTAGATGTATTCAATGTCCCTTTAAATGAAGAAATGCACATGGCTAAAATATTTATATTAAACAGGAATTTTCTTTTAACAATTCAATTAAGAGCACAATGAAACAAGTGAAGCACATATTCAATCAAAATAAATCTTATGAAAAAACAACTGCAGCATAATTTTTTAACACAATGGTTAGCAAAGCAAGAGGACCAACACTCTGGCCTCAGCTGAGCCGCGCCCACCGAGACCGCCGGCGTCACAAACCTGCAGACAAAATAACGGATGACATTGGCATGACACACGATGATCTCGTAGCTGTCCTCCTTCTGCTTGGGGTCAGCCCGGTGGATGTAGCGGCGAAAGGCTGCCTCAATGCGAGCTCCATCTTCGTGGTACTGCTGGAGGACGGTAGAGAGGTTGAAAGCCACCTTTGTCACATGAAAGGGTTCTGTCTGAACCCCTCAGTCACTACAGAGTCAATGCATGACACTGCTGTGCATTGTGGGGAATGTATGAAGAGTTTCATTCCAAAATGAGGCCAACTAAATGGAAAACGTTGCTTCTACTAAAGGCTAAAACTTAAGATGTTTACATGAAGAAAACCAAAATCTACCTGCATGGCTCCATATCATTGGGATAAGTTTCTGTAATTGGGTAAACCGAACCTTACAGGAACAGTGTGTAAGATTTAGGGGAATTTAGTGGTATCTAGCAGTAAGGAATGCAGACTGCAACCAGCTGAAACTTTTCCAGGTCGTCTCAAGCCGTTAAACACACTAAAAGCAGTTTCATGTCACAGACCAGCTTCTCTTTCACTGTTTGGCGTGTTGCAGAAAGGCTGCTAGACAAGCACCTGCTAACGTGTGTTAACCTTATGTCTGATACAGAAATTCAGGAGTTTACCATGAGCCAAACTGTCGGCAGAGGTCTCCTCCTCTCCAAAACAAACGAACCAGGGGATTTAAACACTGAAACAAACCTGATGTAGATTTAACAGCTCATTCTAGGTTAAAAAAAACACAACTCTTTTTTTTCAGGTGGGAAAAAAAATGTATGTTTTCACTGGTGTATACCAGTGAAAACATACCTTTTTCATTATATTCCCTTCAGGCAATATGTCCCCTTTATCCTACACACTGAACCTTTAAGTAAATCAATAATAAAATACCGTTAACAAACAAGTTATTTAGCAACTGATTATGTAACAATGGCAGATTGTCCACTTAAATAAGAATACTATGATAAAAAGATTGTTCCTGAGCTGCTCGACTCCTTAAACATTGGCATTTTGGAATTTAACTTTTCCTATGACCCATTCCTGTAGCAATGCACTGATGTATTGGCTGATTTTTTTTTTGCAGATGTAGCTCTTAACAAGCACTTGACAGGACACCAGCACAGACATGTAAAGGCAGCTAAAATTTACCTAAACAAGGATATGCCAATACAGAAAATAAGGCCTACAGCCCGCTCTGAAGGTAGAGAGGGTGTAGTTTCTCTCACCACAGCGTCGGGCTTCCAGTGGGTGACAGGTGGAACTGGCTCAATAGGTGCACCCTCTCTCAGCAGGTCACAGCTCACCAGCTCCACTCCTAGACCCGTATGACATTAAGGGGCAAGGAAGAATGTTAATATACTTGTTAGGTGTTCAGCATTTCTGCACCAGCTGTAAGTTGTGCTGTGGTTGCTAAACAGGAAAATAACAGGATACAACAATGATAAACAGGATATGAATAGCCAGAATCACGTATTGACATATAAGGGGTCAAACACAGACTTGCTGAAATGGCATACTGCTGGCCAAAATGTTTGGGAACTGAGGACACTATTTGCTGAAGTTGTGAAAGTGAATTTCTTTTCCATTTCTGCCTGATTATGCATGACACATTTTCAATGGGAGACAGGTCTGGACCAAGCAGCAACCTCCAGGGCCGAAAAATTTACCCAACACAAGCTTGCCAAAAACTGCAGTTCTTTGAAAGGCCACATGGGACTGGCTCCAGAAGCCAGTCAATCCCCATAGAACCCCATGTTCAAATGCTGACCATTACAGCAGAAATAAAATGTTTACAGTATGGAACAAACAACAGTTTTGGTCTCTGGAGCTAATCTCTTTCTTTGTGACGACTGTACGGGGGTGAATTTTTTTTAGACCTCATCATTTAGACTTAAGTAACACATCATTAAGGATGGGCTGCTTTGAGTGACAGGCGTTCTGCTGATAGTGTCCTTAACTTCTCCTGCATTCAATATTGGGGGTTTTTTTGGACAGTTTTTCAGTTTCACAATCCTTTGTTGTCCCTGTCTCAACTTTTTTGAAATGTGTTGCAGGCATCAAATTCAGAGTGAATGTGTATTTACAAAACAAAGTTTATCAGTTTGAACATTGAATATCTTGTCTTTGTACTGTTTTTAATTGAATATAGGTCAGAAAGGATTTGCTGATAAGAGCTGTTTTTTTAATTTACATTTT